TAACCATACTTGCCTTTTGCCAATAATATCTAAAGTTCAACGCACTACAAACATTTGAAAGACATCAATCATATTTGCAAAAACAATTTACTTCATCAAACCCAATAATATCTAAGTGTTAGTCACTTTTTCTATCAAATTTCATGTGCTGCAAGAAACAGATGGTACTAATCACCTTATCAAAAATTTACTGTCAGTTTATAAATATATTAAGCAGGAGTATTTCTCATGTAAGGAAACATTCTGGGTTCAAAACCCAAGAAAATTAAAAGGGAACTCTAATAAACTACAGCACAGCAGTCTACCCTTTCAGAAGTCTGAAGACCATACACCAGCTATTGTCCAAGATCTTCCTTCCCACATATCTTAAATACTCACCTTTTACACATATAGACTTATGTCACAGCACACATAGAATCATAGGATGCTTTGTGATGGAAGGGACCTTTCAAGGTCATCTAGTCCAGCCCCCCTGCAATGACCAGGGACATCTTCAACTAGATCAGGCTGCTCAGAGTCCCATCCAGCCTGCCTTTGAATGTTTCCAAGGATGGGGCATCTACCACCTCTCTGGGCAACCTGTTCCAGTGTTACACCACTCTCATCATAAAAAATTTCCTCCTTATATCTAGTCTGAATCTACCCTCTTTTAGTTTAAAACCGTTACCCCTTGACCTGTCACAGCAGGCCTTGCTAAAAAGACTATCCCCATCTTTCTTATAGGCCCCCCTTAAGTATTGAAAGCCAGCAATAAGGTCTCCCCGCAGCCTTCTCTCCTCCAGGTTGAACAATCCCCAGCTCTTTCAGCCTTTCCTCATAGCAGAGGTGTTCCAGCTCTCTGATCATTTTTGTGGCCCTCCTCTGGACCCGCTCCAACAGGTCCATAAAATACACATCCATACACATACAATAAGACAATTCATTAAAAAATTTATTAGTCATTATGATCAAATTTTATCTCCTAACTCAACAACAAAATCTCAAAGTACAGCTAACCATTAACAATTAGGTAACTGCGGAAGAGATTTGTATGAGAAAAGTGCCTCACCCTGAGATCTCAGTAGAATGAGCTAAAATATGGCATGTGAAAGGGTCCTCCCAATGCCTTCTTCCTATGAAGCCTCTTACCGCTCTTTCTTCCATAACTTTTCAGATATTTAAGCTCATTTAGCCTCCTAAGCCACCTGAAGCTTAGTAAGGCTCTCACCACTGCAACCCAACACTTGTTCTCTCTTTCCTTGCACTGCTACCAACCACCACGTCTCCCTTGTGTTACTTCAAAGCACTGCTACCAGAATAATCTTCTAATTCATTGTCAACTTCTTCCTACCCCTTCATTAACCTCCTTATTCTCCTCCAAGTTCTCAAATGGAATCTGTTAGTCCCTCCAATATTTATTCATATTGCATCCATCAGATCTAGTTTTTAGCCATACGTTCATCTTTGTTCGTCAACGAAAGCAGCCTCAGCTTACCTCTCCTCAAAACTAACCATCTATCGTAGCGTGGATAGTAAACCCCTGAAAGGCAAGTACACGACCCACTGTGATGACTGCTCCTGACTGACCAGGAACCAGCTTGCCACTCTCTTCCTCACTCACCAGCTGTCACCCTCCAGTTGTACCTTGGTTTTCAGATGGTAAAAACTTCCATTAGGCCGTGGAGCACTTTGCATAGCAAGGCCCCGGTTTCATTGTCCTCGCATTGCTACTACCACTGTGTAAATCTTAAAGTAATAACAGGGCACGTGAGGTAGTTTCTGGAATATATGTCCCGGTGCTGCTGAAGTAGTCTCTATTACAGAAGATGAAGATGTGAGAAGCTAACATTTGAGATCAGGCTTATCATCCCCCATCACGAATATGCAACAGAAGCACATATAGGTGTGACCCCAGTTTATAAAATATCTGATGGTACCATCTTTGAGACTGTGTAAACCAAATGTATGGTAGGCAATGGAAAAAAACTATTTATACAAATGTGCATATATGTATATATATGTGTGTGTATATATATATATATATGCGCATTCCTATTTAGTTAATATTTTATGCGTGGTTATGGCTGACTCCATACTTTTCTTCATACTGTTTGTATCATCATGTGCACCGGAATCAATCCGCTTCAGTCCCAGCAGTTCTATTAGTTTTTACCTCCTAGCATTTTCTAAAAGTGGCTCCTGGTGGCTCGTATAAATAAAAGCAGTGTTTTACAGGAACCACAGATTTATAACTTTAATAAGACTGCCCTCCTTCCTGCATTAAAGTCTACAGTACATGACAAATCAGGTTAAGCAAGCTGGTATCAAATCTGAAGCCAAACACGTTTTTGAGCCAAACCTTAATTCTCTGAAGACCTTATTTTCAAGCTTATTTTCAAGACGTTAAATTATTGATAAGGAAAATCAATTCTTTTTCCAACTCAGGCAATGTCGTACAGTCACAGCATATACAACAATAGCTAAGATAGCTTTTCTGTTTTATTAACTTCACAACCCTTTAGAATTAGATTACCTACCTTTTCCTCTTTAGAATCAAGATAAACAGTCACTATGGACAGCTTCACAACTTCTATTAACTTCAGATGAGAATAAAAGATTTGTCTGAGAACAGACTGTCGGAAGCAGACAAAAAAACATTTGAGACCTGCAAACTCCTAAGTCTGTTTATTAAACTAGTAATATTTAACCAATACCATTAAACTTAGACACTTCAGAAAATAAACTGCAATGCATTTTGTTCTGACAATAAGCAGTTTCCTCAAAGAATCTGAAATAATAGAACATATTCCATCCAAAGAAGCAACAGAAGAATTGCAAACAAACTGGGAGAAAGTAGGCAGATGGCAAGAACAGTTCTTTGTAAGCAATAACCTTCCTGACACAAAAAATCTAGGAGTATCTACATGCACACTTTTGCTTAGACTTGTAGTTCCACGGAATATCAAGTGATTTCAGTCCCAGTGATTTTATTAAGTTTCTATCGCCTAGCATTTCCAGAGGATATCTTGGGCACAACAAAGGATAAGCTGATGTCACCTTCTGTAAAAGTATCCCAACCATTATAGTACAAGATATATAAAAGAAGGAAGGAGATAAAATGATGTTACCGATCTTTGTTGTTCTAAAGCAGAACAGCAGTAGTGAGTAAGCAATGATTTACGAAGGAGCAACAACCACCCTCACGCCCTATCCCAAAAATACCCTAACTATCAGTTTTAGGACTTAACGATGTCATATGGCGAGTTAATGGAGAAGTCTCTTGAGCTTTCCTGTTGAGGATGTCCAGTTTAGTATATAATATGTAAATATCCGGCGACCTATCCAGAGAGGAAAAACTGATTCTCCAGGTTAGTTAGTTACTATGCTTCTCCAATTGGACACCTCAGCCTATACGCCATTGGATTACTGTGCAAAGTAAAACAGCCTTAACAGATAAAAATGAATAGCTGTGTACACACAAAGAGAAATATCTTTTGTCCCCAGAATAGCCTACCAGTTAGGACACCCTCCAAGACTTCTGTGCCAAATGCAAAAATTCTGCTCCCAGTTCTTTGATGAGAGTCCCCAGAACAGAGAAAAAGCAGATTCTTTTCTGGGGAGATGTGAGCCAGCAGCGCTGCAGCTCCCAAAATGTTCCCGAATGAAACCATTCAGCAAAAAGAATGCAGTTGCAATTAACTACTAAACGGGCAAATGCACACTTCTTGATGAATAAAGTGTCTCTGAAAAACACAACTCAGTTCTGATGTGAAACCCCTAACACTGGTAAGTAATAAATACCTGTTTTTCAGTCAGCCACAATTCAAATGTGAGATACAATCTATAGCAAATATCCAGACAGGAAAATTATTTGAAAAACATACCAAAAAAAGCTCAAAATACAGTAGAATTAATTTATTTGTTGTAAATAACTCTTAAGCTCTGATTTTCATGGTACTGTTCCTGATCTAACTAAATGAGAAATTTACTGTGGAAGGAAGCTCACCTAACTGCTTTAGAGAGAGCTCATACGTCTAGGCAAAACAACAGCCATTTGCAGAAGGTAAATAACAGATGTTATTTTTCCTCCTTCTTCGTACTTAACTACTCCTGCATACGCTGCCTCTCTGCCCGCAGCGCCTCACAGACCTGTGCCGCTCCCTGCCCCTGAGAGGGTGCCGCAGCCGCAGCCGGGGCGGTGGGGGCCCGCCCCTCCCCCCCCGGCCGCGGCGATCCCTCCTCCGCCGCCCGCCCCGGCCTGTTGCTCGGCCCGGGGGAGCGGCGGGGCCGAGGGCACCGCGGCTTTTGTTCGGGTTTGGCTGGCGGGGGGCTGTCACC